TTTTTCACATTGCACCAGTACAGTTAATGAGCAACCTGTACTTGTGTGCCTGTTTGTTCTGTCTAAAATGTTTATTTTGGAATAAAGAGTATAAAATATAAAAAATATTTTTTGTCCGATTCATCGATTAATCGAAAAAATAATCGGCTGATTCATCGATTTTTAAAATAATCGTTAGTTGCAGAGCCCTAGAACTGATGGTTTCCTCCTGTGAGCGCCCTTTTATAACAAAATGCGGCCAATACGCCATTAAACAGTAGCTGTAAGTTAGAAACACATTCAGCGGTCGTCTGGAACACGTCAAATACGTTGATATGTGTTGGAGATAAGTTTCTTGATAAGTTATGCATAAGTTTGCACAAGTTACTCATAAGTTTTGGATAAGCTAGACGCCACGACTTTCACTTAACGTATGTCAACCATCAGATAACTTACCTGTAACTTATTCCCCACGTATGGCATACGCTGGAACGTACTCGCTATATGTCGATGTTCGCCAGCGTACTTCAGCGTGCTTATACAAAACGTACCCATAGCGTTTTTGTCCGATTTTTCGTACGTCATTCATTTGCTGGTCTAAATCGTCAAGGTGTGACGGGGCTTTAGTAATCTTCAGTTTATTCTGAATTTGAACAAAACAATAAACAGCAATTTGAAAAATGTGTATATATCGTATTACTCTCGTATTTAACAAATAATTTAGGTCATTCCTAGAGAAATTAAGTGGCATGATTGAATGTTGTGGACTAATTGTTGAACTAGATATATGTGTAGGAAGGAAGGAGGTAGGGAGAACGTTTGCATTCAGAATGGGATCCTGAACTATGTGGTCTCAGAACATTTAACTAAACACCAGTAAGAAGCAGGAGGTCAGAAAACAAACATTTATTTCCACTTCCAAACGCAGTCAGAGAACCACATCCTGTCCACCAACAGGTTCAATCTAAGCTTTTTGTAGCATAAGAGGATATTTTCTTCAATAGCTATAAAACAATGCAGTCAAATCAGTTTATTATTCAACTTGATCATTTAAAAAAATGTAAACCAAGTACTTATCACCATTTAAAAAAAATAAATAATTAACTGAATGAACAATATGGCCATGGGGAATTCAGAGTATGGTAAATCTGGTATGGTAGATCTGTTAACTATAATAATAATTGGACTTTATTGATCTCACATTGGGCTGCCATTGTGGGGCGCCCAAGGAGCAGTGTGGTGTTAAGGGTCTTGCTCAGAGACCCAGAGTGGCAGTCTGTGGTAGTGGGGCTTTAACTCAGAACCTCAGGACTCCACGCTCTATGCCCTAACCACTGGGCCACCACTCCCCTAACCAACATGGCATTGAGCCTAGGGGGTGTAAATCACTAGCCTGGGTGCCATTCCGAACTTAGTCCCGCCCACAAAGTTTGAGGTCGGGAAGTTCGGTCTGGCTCTGCTCCATAGTAGC